CTTCTCTCTTATCACCAAAGGCCCCATCCCCAGTCAATCAATGAACACAAAGTCTTGTCCATCCTACCTTCTGTTATATCTTAACTCTGTCCACCTCTCTTCATCCTTACCCTGGTCCTAGCTACCATCATTCTCACCTAGGGTGGGGGGACCTCCTTCTGGTTTCCTGCATCCATCCTGACCCCTCCAGTCCGTCTTTCACACTGTAGCTGGAGAAGTTCCTCTAAAATACACATTGTTGGCCAGGCGTGGTGGCTCACGCCTGCAATCCCAGAATTTTGGGAGCCTGAGGCAGGTGGATTGCCTGAGCTCAGGAGTTTGAGACCAGCCTGAGCAACGTGGTGAAACCCCATCTCTACTAAAATACAAAAAATTAGATGGGCATGGTGGTGCATGCCTGAGGTCCCAGCTACTCAGGAGGCTGAGTGAGGCATGAGATTTGCTTGAACCAGGGAGGCAGAGGTTGAAGTGAGACAAGATCGTGCCACTGCACTCCAGCCTGGACAATAGAGTGAGACTCTGTCTCCAAAATAAATAAAATAAAATAAAATTAAATTAAATGCAAAATGTTATTCCATAATGCTCTCTGCTGAGTGTCACTGCCTTCGGGTTAAAGTGCAAACTCCTTATTAATAGGCCCTTATTGCTCGATCTGACCTGGCCTACAGCTCTGGCCACATCTCCCTGCATAGTCCTCCTCTCTCTTCATGTCCCTTTCAGTTCCTTAGACCTACAGTTCCTTTTTGCTATCAGGCCTCTACACATACTATCCCCTATTGGACATTCTTAGCCTGGCCAACTTGCATTTATCAGCACGTGTGGGTGGTGTGATGGAGTGGACTGTGGAGAGAGGCAGGCATGGGTTTGAATTCCAGCTCTGTTCTTTTCAAGCTGTAAAAACTTAAGGATGTCAACCAACCTCTCTGAGCCTCAGAGTCCTCATCTGCAGACAGAGGCATCATAATATTCACCACGTCTCCATATGTTGATTTCTCTTTTCAATTATCTGACCCATCTCCACCCACCCACTCTCACCTGCTTTTTCTGGGAACTGACCCTTCTTCCCTGTGCACACAGAGACCATGGTGGTTCCTGGCTGCCATGTTAGTCCAAAAGGACGCAGCCCACTCCCCACAGATGATTGGGCCAGAGGTTGGCACCATTAGCTGCTACATTCCCAATTAGGAATTGGAACCCAGAGAGAGTCACACTGGACTCTTTTCTCATACGGCTAGACTGTCTGTAGACCCAATGGCTCTACATCAGTAGCCATATGTTCCCGTGTGGCTGGGAAGCAGAAGAAGCTGGTCTGCATAAGAGTCTATGGAAGCCAATGCACAAAGGAAGCAAAGGCCCAGAGAGGAAGAGAGGGTGGAAACAGAGAAAGGGTCTTGTACATTTAATGTCCTGGTTTCATTGACCGATTGAGGCCAGCTGCCCTGAGCCTGTAAGAAATTCGCACCCTTAAACCAAAAAAAAAAAATCTCCTTAAGGCCAGGTGTGGTGGCTCACTCCTGTAATCCCAGCACTTTGGGAGTTCAAAGGCTGGCTAATCACTTGAGCCCAGCAGTTCAAGACCAGCCTGGGCAACATGGGAAACCCTGTCTCTACAAAAAATACAAAAAAGTAGCCAGGCGCAGTGGCTGATGCCTATAATCCCAGCACTTTGGGAGGTTCAGGCGGGTGGATCACGAGGTCAGGAGTTCGAGACCAGCCTGACCAACATGGTGAAACCCCATCTCTACTAAAAATACAAAAATTAGCCAGGTGTGGTGGCGGGCACCTGTAATCCCAGCTACTCAGGAGGCTGAGACAGGAGACTCTCTTGAACCCAGGAGACAGAGGTTGCAGTGAGCCCAGATGGTGCCACTGCACTCCAGCCTGGGCGACAGAGTGAGACTCCATCTCAAATAATAATAATACTAAAATAAAAATAAAAATAATTAGGAGGGTGTGGTGGAGCGTGGCTATAGTTCCAGATACTCTGGAACTGAAGTGGGAGCCCAGGAGGCAGAGGTTGCAGCGAGCCAAGATCGCACCACTGCACTCTGCATCCAGCATGGGTAACAGAGTAAGACCCTGTATCAAAAAAAAAAAAAAAAAAAAAACCCTTAAAATAGCTAGCATGGATTTTTATTACATGAAACCAACAAAGTCCTAATTTACCTATTTTGTGAAACAATTATTGTGAAAATTAGAAATGAGATACGTACACATATAGTAGATTTCAATAAAAATATTAGTCTTAATATGTACTCAATGCATGAATGAGGCAAGGACTGAGGGAGGGATGTTGGAACTCTCTGCACCCATTTCTTTACAATAGTTCCAGAAACAGGGGCAGGGGCCAGTGCTTATCATCCCATATCATCCCATGAGATTTTTGTTTTGTTTTGTTTTACTTTATTATATTTTGGTAACTTTGAAAAGAGGAAAAAATTACACATAATCTCACCCCATCAAATTGAAGCAGATATTTTTATTGCATACATACTTTGCATACTTATAATCATGGTGCACATTCCATTTTGTGTCTAGTATTTTTTACTTAATGTATAAACATTTTAATATCTCTACACAGACTTTGCAATCATTTTAATGACTGTATAATATTTAATAGTGTATTATCTAATTTATTAAGCCATCCCCTGTATAGATGTGATTTCTGGTTTTTTCTATTATAAATCATGCTGCAATGTACATCTCTGTGGATAGGTCATTTTTTTTTTTTTTTTTTTGAGGTGGAGATCCCAGGCATTTGGGGGTAATGATAAAGATCCAAACACTTGGGTTCCAGGTCTTGGTTCCACATTTCACCAGCTAAATGACTCAGGTGGTTACTTGGGTACCTGAGACCTCAGTGTCCCCATCTGTTAATGAAGCGAATTGTCTCTGCTCTGGAGATGCACATTTGTCTTGAAGGTGAAGAGGAGCAGTAAATCAATTCTAAAGCTCTATTCTAAGCCATGATTCTGTTTAGCCCTATAAGGAAACAATAGTGCTCAGTACCGGCTCCATTTTTGCAAAGGAGCTAGAGGAATGGTGGCGGAGAGTGTTGAATCATAGGGTCTTACCCACTCAGCCGGTGCTAAGTGATTAGGGACCCACTCAACAGCAGATGAGGCCAAGGCAGGAATGAGCCTCCAGATAAAATCCCCTTCTGGCCCCCCACCATCTGGCTCTATTCTGGAGGGCTAGAATGGTGGCTATCCCACTATTGCAGTGGCTGCAATAGCAGTGGCAGGATTCTTTGGCTTTAATCCACAACCCCTTTCTCCCCTAAACCCAGGCGGCCTCTGTAGGTTCCCATGACAACAGCATGCCTGGGAAGGACCAGCTTGAGGAAAAACCAGATTTTACTGTAAGAAAAAACTGGCCAGAAGCCACAGGCTGGGCAGGCTGGGACACGGGCTCTGCAGTGGGGCTGGGTCCTGGGACACGAACCAGAGAGAGGAGTGAGCACCAGCTCTGTGCTAGGAGCTGACACTTTTTGAGCACTTACAATAGCCAGATACTATTAAATGTGCTGTGTATGTATTGACTTATTTGATCCTCATGACAATGAAGTAGGCACCATAGGTGTTATCCCTGTTTTACAGGTGAGGTGACAGAGGTATGGTGAGGTTCAAACCTGGCAGTCTGACATCAGTGCCTGCATATGGACCCCTTGGAAATCAACTCTCATCTCTGCAGCCTCCAGCAATTGATAAATGACAGTTTCATTCTATCCTCACAACATTTTTCCAAGATTAAAGATTATTATTCCCATGAGGAACCCATCTGTCAGAGAGGTTAAGCAATGTGTCCCAAATCACACAGCTAGCAAGTAATAGAGCTGGGATTTGAACTCAGATGTGTCTGAACCCAAAGCCCATGGTTGCTACTAAGATGCCAGGAAATAGATCTGAGCCTTCCTATCCTCCCATAAGCCTGGGAAAAGGGTCACGTAGCGTAGGCTAGCTTTAGAGATATGAGTGGGGTACATTTCTGTGTCCTCAGTGCCGTGCCAACCTCTCCCAACACATACACACTCACACATGCACACACACATGCACGCACGCATGGGCGTGAACACAGGCCCTGGCAGGCAGACACTGCCCTCCTCTCAGCCAGGAATGGGCCCGCCTACTCACAACAGGCTTCCCAGGCTGGTGAGCCTGCCCACACCTGATTGCCTCACCTGGGAGAGGCTGCTAGAAGGCATGGAAGGCGTATCTCCCCACCCCAACTCATTCTGTGTAACCAGGCTGGGGCTTCCCAAGGAAGTGAGAGAATTCCTGAAGTCTGTGAGACCCCTGGGATGTTTTGGGTTTTTTATTTCTAAACCAAGTGGGAGCCTAAACTTCAGAGCCTGGAGGACTCTTCCTATTGTTCTTCCAGTGTTTTTTTTTTTTTTTTTTTTTGAGAGAATCCCGCTCTGTCACCCAGGCTGGAGTGCAGTGACGTGATCACAGCTCACTGCAGCCTCAAATTCCTTGGCTCAAGTGATCCTCCTACCTCAGCCTCCCGAGTAGCTGGGACTACAGGCACACAGCACCATGCCCGGCTAAGTTTTCAATGCTTTTTGGTAGGGTCAGGGTCTCACTATGTTGCTCAGGCTCCAGTGTTAATTTTTTACTTAAGGTATTGCATTACCTTTCTCCTGACTTGATTATTTTCTAGACGGTGGCCTTTGATTTTTTTTTTTTTTGAGACGGAGTCTTGCTCTGTCGCCTAGGCTGGAGTGCAGTGGAGCGATCTCGGCTCACTGCCACCTCTGCCTCCTGAGGTTCAAGTGATTCTCCTGCCTCAGCCTCCCAAGTAGCTGGGATTACAGGTGCCCGCCACCATGCCCGGCTAATTTTTGTATTTTTAGTACAGATGGGGTTTCACCATGTTGGCCAGGCTGGTCTCAAACCCCTGACCTCAAGTGATCTGCCCACCTCGGCCTCCCAAAGTGTTGGGATTACAGATGTGAGCCACTGCGCCCAGCCACCTTTGATTTTTAAAAGTTCCCCATTTCCTGTGGTAAGTGCAGTGGCCCTCTGTCTATGTCTTTCTATCTTATCTCTGATAGACTAGTCTAGTCCATATTTTCCACTGGGAGCTTACCTCTAAAATCACATTTGCATAAGATCAGTCATTCCACAGATATTGATCATATGGCTTCCCCTCAAAGGCAGGATGTACATGGGAAACTAAAGACACATTCAGACCCACCCCTTCCCACCCCTACTGAATTAAAGAGAGGCAACAGAAGCCTCAGGTTCTGCCAGGTTCTCCTGGAGATGGTGGGTTAGATAAGGGGAAGAGACCTGTTGACTTGTCTTGCTGCAGAAAGCTCTACACATTTGATTCCTGGAAGCAGAGCAAAGGTTCTATCCCCAACACCATCAGTCTGACCAGACTGGGGACCATCTAGTTTCCAGTGAAGCATCCACCTAAAGTCCTTGGGGGAGGAAATGGAAATTATCTTAAGAGGCTTGGACACCCCAGCTTTCTCCAGCCTCTGCAGACCCTGCCACGCCTGCACATAAACCCCATTTCTTCTCCATGCCAGACTGCAAAGAATTGGAGTAGCATACTGAGCACACTACAGTTTCTCCCTGGTGCAGATGTTACCCTTGAAACCCTTCTTTGGAAGACCCACACATCCATCCACAGGACAGCATGGACTCCAACGTGGGGTGGGTAAGAGAGAGAGGCTGCAGACTCAGAGAGAAGGAGAGGAAGGAAGTGAGGAGATGGGGCTGCTGGGAGAGAGAGCAGGGAGGTCAGAGTTGGGGACCATGCCCAAAATATGTCAATACCATGTCTGGATTTTTTACTCTGGGGAGAGGAGACATCCCTGCTGCCTGCAGTACTGAGCACCTGTGCTCCCCACAAGCCCCCTCCACCTGGCCCGGGCACGCAGTGGGCATTTAGTAAGTGCACACTAGAGCTGGTGGTTATGTTGATAAGATGACGGCACACCACTCAGTCTGCAAAGTCCAGACTTCTGTCTCTCTCACCCCCTGGGAATTTCATAAATAAATCCCTGGACCTGTTCCAAGAAGAATTTCAAGGCTTCTCTGTGTGTGTATGTGTTTCCAGAAACACAACAATTTTACATGATGCCTGGTGTGCAAACTCCTAAGCAAACCATGGAGAGGAATGAGGACTTGGGCATGGCAAAGAGGAGGTGGACAGACCGGGTCAGGCTGGGCTGGCGCAGGCCAGGAAACCAGCAGTCGACAGCGGCGGTTTGAGCCCAGGCTTTGCAGCTGGCAGCTGCTAACCTGGCTCCCCAGACGCCCAGTCTGCCCCAGGCTCAGATTGCCCAGCCTCCCCTCCCCCACCCTTGGGCTTTGGCAGGATTCTCCATCAGGTTTTTGCAAAGTGCTGGGGTCTTAAAATAGCATAAAGGCCCGCGCAAGCACACACACACACATGCATGCACACGCACACACACATTTAGACTATAGTGTCAATTCCCATACCACAGAATGAAGATCAAAAAGGAGGGAGAGTAGAGGGTGGAGCGAGGACTTCAGGGCATCTTCCAGAGCTGAGAGCAGTGAGAGACCAGGCAGGAAACAGAGGTGGCACTCAGTGTGAAGAAGGGGAATGGGGAGGAGAAAACAAGATAGAGCCTGTTTTTGGGTGTGTGTGACAACGTGACAGGGCTAACAGTCATGTCTGGACTGTGTGTTTATGTGTAGCTGGGATCATGAAAGCAAAGGCTATGTTGGTGTGACCAGTTTGGCAAGGGGAAGCTGGATTTCCCTCCTGGACTGTGAACTCCTATGGGCCAAGAACTAAGAACTTTATCCTCATCATTCCCAGGGCCTAGCCCACTGCCTGACACAGACACTAAATACATGTTCCAAGAATAAATAGATGATGGATGGATACATGGATTTGCTAGAACATTAAGTGGTAACCATAAGGACAGTACAATTTCAAAGGGCAAAATTGGAAACGGGCACTGCAAAGTTAGAAGATGTGGCCAATCCACAAGTACGTACTGGATGTTGAGAAGGAAAGGGAAGTGACCGCCACTGTGGTAGGGTTTGGGATCTCTCTGGGGAAGATGAGACGAACACAGAGAGGTAGGCAGAAGGCTTCCCAGAGGAGTCAGGCCCTGAGCTGGTCGAATTACTTGAGCTGATGTCGTAGCCAGGGCTCACAGGCTATGAGGACAAACATGCTCAAACCAGTGGAAGCGAAAAGAGGATTTCCTGGGAAGACAGATGGGAATCTCAGAGAACTCAGCAGTGGAAAATACAGTCAGATCTCATGGGATCTGAGAAGACGCTGGGCTGGTTGTATGTTGGGGACTCTGTTAGAGTGGGCGAGGCCAGAGGGTGTGTGTGCATGGACACGTTCCCAGCACACCTGGGGTAAACAATGGGGGTCTCTGGTCTCTCCTTTCCCTGGGCCTCTGCTCCACTCTCCTCTCCTGGCTCACCCTGGCCCAGGGTAGCTTCCAGCTAGTCTCCATTGCCCGCCCCCACCTAAGTAACTCGGTTTTCATAACTCCTTAATTCAAATGCTCATGAGAAAGGACTTGCATCGCTCAGCCAGTTTATTTCTTGCTTTCCCTTGGTTCAATGCCCAGCCCTGGTGCAATCACCTATGGCCAGAGGGCAGACCATGTAAACTTCCCTAGGAGAAGTGGGTGTAGCAGGTGACAGCGACAGACTCTGGTGATCCAGAGAGGAAGAAAACTACATGAGGCACTTGGTTGTGTAGTGTGTGTGTGTGAAGGGGTGGATGGGGGAAGCCAGGGCAAAAGAGGAGCTGTCAGGACAGGGGTGAGCCAGGTGACCTCTATGCCTCAGTTCCTTGTCTCTACTATGGGGTGAATACTACTACTCTCATGTGGTTGCTGTGAAGATTGAGTAAATAATCTGTGTCAAGTTCTCAGGAGTCAATGTTCTCTACAGCCTTTAGCAATTGATAAACGACAGTTTCATTCTATCCTCACAACATTTTCCCCAAATTAAAGATTATTATTCCCATGTTACAGATGAGGAACCCAAAGGCCAGAGAAGTTAAGCATGTATATGCAGTCTCTGCATGTATTGTGATGTGCAGGAGAGTTAGGATGGATAGTAAGTTCTCATCACGTAGAGGCCTCACTACAGTTTTGGCTCCGCCCTGGGCAAGTCACGCATCTTTTCTGAGCGTCAGATTCTTCATCTGTGAAACAAGGGAGTCCAGCTGAATCATTTCTCAAATCCCCTCTTAGTTTAGAAAGCCATGCTTTTGGCTTGGCCATAGGGAGCCTGTGGATTCTGAAGAAGGCAGATGACAGACAAAATGAAGGAGGCTTTCTTAGAATACAGTTATGTCGCAGGGTGCCTTGTAGACTGGAAGGAGGGTGACCAGGAGGCAGGGAGGTTACAGCACCAGTAGTCCCAGAGATGTGTTGTGTAAGGTTCTGGACTGTAGCATCGCAGGAGGGGACTGGCCAGATAGGCAAAAGCTGTGAGGTCTACAACAAAAGGAAAATGATCAGGAGAGCAATCCTGTTTGGTCACTGGGCATCCCAGATAGATAGAAACTGATGTATTAATCATCAAGGCTGAGGGCACAGGGCTTATTTCCAAGGAGGCACTGGGGGATGGATGGGGTAGGGGGAGGATGAGGTCAGTGTGAGGGTTAAAAGAACGAAAGAAGGCTTGCTTCTAAAAATCATGCAGTTGCCTCTGGAGTAGAAAGTCAGCAATAAAAGCCTGAGAGGGTTTTCTCCAAGTACATCACAGCTCCGCATCATCCCATGGGACTGCTAAGCACAGACTACAGGCTGCTGACCACAGCAAGACCCTAACACTGACTCTGGCCTCTGGGCTTCTCGGGCCCAGAGCAATCCCTCTAATTAGCCCCCATCCTCAGCCACCAGGCATATCCCATCCAAGTTCTTTCCATTGCCTAACCTGCTCTCCCTCTGCTTCCCTCACCACCCTGGCTCATTTGTCCCTTCACCAGCTGCTATGGCCCCACCCCTACACCTTCAACCTCCAAATGGTCCCTCTTCTGCTCCCAGCCTGGACTGCTAAGCATTTCCCAAAGAAATGGTAGAGGCTTGTTATGACCTCAACTTTATGTTCTGTAATCCTGCCTGGGCCCCAGTACCACTCTGACAATCCCTTCCTGCTTTTCTATGTTCCTGGACACCACACCCATTCTCCACAGTGGCTTTTTACAAATCCTTACCACCTTCCTCAAGCACATCTACCATCATATGCCACCATGCGCCCTGAGCATACTGTACCAAAACAGAGGGCCTGACTGAGAACATCAGGATGACCCTTCATGCCTATAAACTTTCTCTTGGTTTACCTCATTCCTTCAGCTCTAGCAATCTCCTCCAGGCCAAGGCTAATCATTGTACCTCTGGATCTTTATCCTGTGCTTCTCATCTACCCTGGGTACTGGCTCGATTACTTACTACTTCTTCTTCCTGTATCTTTGAACTCTTCTTGGCTCTTTTACTGCAGTCTAAGCTGCAGTCTTTCTGTTCTTATTAAAGCAACAAAAGGGAGCAAACACTCCCTTCACCTTGTGTATCCTTCTGAAATCCCCTTTTCTTTTTCTCTTGTCCAGTCTGGAAATCTTTATTTTTAAATTGGATTATTTAGTTCATTTACATTTATTGTAATCACATATATTTGGATTTATTTTTACCATCTTATTTTCTTCTTTCTATTTATCCCACTTTACCATAGATTCAGTATCACTTGTCTTGAGACCAGAGTGTTTTGGATTTCAGAGTTTTTAAGATTTTGAAATATTTGCATGGTACTCACCTGTTAAGCATTCATAATCCAAAAATAAAAAATCTGAAATGCTGCAATGAGCATTTACTTTGAGCATCATGTCAGTGCTCAGAAGGTTTCAGATTTTGGAGCATTTTGGATTGTGGATTTTTGGATTAGGAATGCTCAACCTATATTGTCCTTTTTATTTCCTTTATCAGTTCCTTTTGGATTATTTTGTATAATTCTATTTCTTCATTCTCTTAACCTATAAGTTATACACTCTGTTTCTCTTCTATTAGTGAATACCTGTTAGTAAAGTATGCATGAATTCATACATAACACATATTTTTTATTTAGCCCTTGATTTTTTTTTTTTTTTGAGACGGAGTCTCGCTCTGTCACCCAGGCTGGAGTGCAGTGGCGCGATCTCAGCTCACTGCAAGCTCCGCCTCCCGGGTTCACGCCATTCTCCTGCCTCAGCCTCCCGAGTAGCTGGGACTACAGGCGCCCGCCACCTCGCCCGGCTAATTTTTTTGTATTTTTTTTAGTAGAGACGGGGTTTCACCGTGTTAGCCAGGATGGTCTCGATCTCCTGACCTCGTGATCCACCCGTCTCGGCCTCCCAAAGTGCTGGGATTACAGGCTTGAGCCACCGTACCCGGCCAGCCCTTGATCTTTAAAGCCATTTCTTTGAGTATACAATTTTAAGTTGACTGTTATTTTTCTCTTGGGCCTATTTTGGATTTTTGTCTATGTAGATTATTTTTCTTAAAATTTGGTCTGTGAGAATTTCCTGTAGCCTGAATTGAATTTGGGTTCCTCTACAGATGATTTGCTCTTATTTCTTCCACGTACTACCAGGAAGTACAACGGGCCTTAGACCACTTGAATCTAAATAGTGTGTAGTTTTTCAGACCGCCTAGATTGGGTGAATTTTGAATAAAATCACATCATGGAGGCCAGCTTGCCGTTATGAATTCTCAGGGGATATTTTCTCCCATTCTCACTCGGAGCCAAGGTTTTGTTTTTTGTTTTCTTTTGAGACAGAGTCTCACTCTGTCGCCCAGGCTGGAGTGCAGTGGTGTGATCTCAAGAGCCAAGGTTTGAGTCAGACAGTTTTCCTTGCAGTCTCCTGGAAGAGTGAATTATTTATTTTTCTTTTTTCTTTTTCTTTTCTTTTTGAGACAGAGTTGTGCTCTTGTTGCCCAGGCTGGAGTGCAATGGTGTGATTTCGGCTCACTGAAACTTCCACCTCCGAGGTTCAAGTGATTCTCCTGCCTCAGCTTCCCCAGCAGCTGGGACTACAGGCACACGCCACCACGCCTGGTCAATTTTTGTATTTTTTCTTTTTAGTAGAGACGGTGTTTCGTCATGTTGGCCAGGCTGGTGTCGAACTCCTGACCTCAGGTGATCCACCTGCCTTGGCCTCCCACAGTGCTGAGATTGCAGGTGTGAGCCACCGTGCCCAGTCTGAGGAGTGAATTATTTCTAGTACTTCCTTAGATGAAGTGTATTACCCTTTGTGGGTCACAGCTTGTGCACAGGATCTGTTATTAGATACCCCACTTTGGATGAGCTTGAGCTCTGTCTCCTATCCCCTATATCCTGCTTGCCTGTGAAAATCAAAGTTCAAGCTCTCCCGTATGCAAAGGCTCTGAACAGAAAAGCCAGCTTTGGTGATCAGCTTTCCTCTTTGATTTTTAGTTTTTTACTTGAGTATTCACTTTCTTGCTAGTTTACTGAGCATTTTGAGTTGTTTTCAGCAGATTTGCTCAAGGAACCTGGTTTACCATTCCAAAGGAAATCCATATTTCCCCTTCCCATCATAGCCAAGTTATTTGAAATAATAGATGATACTCAGTGTTTCTAAGCCTTCACTCCCATTTGTAGCCTCCTGAAGTTAGGCCTTCACCCCATCCTCCACTGAGCCTGCTCAGGCAAACGTCACCAATCAGAAGTTACCAAAATCCTAAGAGACTTGTTCCTCATCTTACTTGACCTCTTCTCAACATTACAAACTATGGACCTCTTGAAAGCTTCTCTTGCCTTGGTTTCTATTATTCTATTTTTCCCAGGTTCTCTTCCTACTTCCATCACTGTTCCTTCTCTCTTCCTTTTTCCTGGTATTGCTGTATTTCCAGATTCTCTTGCTCCCTTGAGCTGTTTGAATAACTATGATATGCTGCTAACTTCCAAATCCACATCTCTGTGGCTCCAGGTACCTTCAAACTCAGTATGCCTGACAAGGAACTCATTTTTTACATTTTTTAATTTTTTAATTTTTTGGAGACGGAGTCTTTGTTGCCTAGGCTGGAGTGCAGTGGTGCAATCTCGGCTCACTGCAATCTCTGCCTCCTGAGTTCAAGTGATTCTCCCGCCTCAGCCTCCCGAGTAGCTGGGATTATAGGTGCCCACGACCATGCCCAGCTAATTTTTGTATTTTTAGGGGTTTCGCCATGTTGGCCAGGCTGGTCTTGAACTCCTGACCTCAGATGATCCACCTGCCTTGGCCTCCCAAAGTGCTGGGATTACAGGTGCGAGTCACCGTGCCCAGCCAAGGAACTCATTTTCTTTTTCCCAAACCTGCCCATTCTAGTCTGCTGAATGAAACTGCCAGGCAGCTAGTCACCTAAGATTATCCTGGAGTCATATGGGGCCATCCCCTTTCCTCATGTCCTGTATCTAATCAATCTTGTCATTTCTACCTCTTTGAACTCTTGAATCTGTTTCTCTTTTCCACCTTCACATTGCGGCTGCCTGGGGTCGGGTCCACCTCCTATCTTGCCCGGGCTACGGGCTTTGCCTCCTCTTTGGTTTCCTTACAACCATTCTTGTCCTCCTCCAGCCAGCCTCTGTAAAAAGTTCAAATTCACTTGGTTCAGCAAAGTGATCTTCCTAAAACACAATATGATCAGATTACAAATATGATCAGTTTAGCCTTTCCTAAAACACAAACATTATCAATTTACACTTAGAGGTCCAAGTGTACTGAAGAGGGTCTCTTATTAGACTCCCGATCCAGTGTGCTCCATTTCCAAGTAGACTTCCACGTCTGCCTAGCTCACCAACATTACCTTTCCACTCTCCACCATCTTCAACCTGCATCTTTCTGGGTGTGCCGCTAGGCTGCTCACGGTTCTAAACGCCAGGCAAAACAGTCTCCTGCCATCTCCTGCCCTCCCGACACAGGCCTATCTGGGGAGGACTCTTTGATCTTCCAAGAATCAGCGTAGCCTGTCTCTTTGTGAAACCTTTCCCAGCTCCTCAGCCTGTCCCCTCACAGCTGAATCATTCATGTCCCCTGAGTGGCCTCCATTGGCTCTTTACAGGCTTGTGTCCTCGCAGAGATAACCTGTTGGTGCTCTTTTTCTCATGCTTTTCTCTATTAGATTTTAAGTTCCATGAAGGCAAGGACTATGACTTATTCACGTCTATATGTCGCGACTGGTATACTGTAGGTACTCAGTAAGTGCTTGTGGCATGGATGAGTGAAGATGAGCTATTGCCTTCTTGGAATGAATGACCCTGCTGCTCAGCAAGGCAAATGATCCCCTAGGTAGTGGTGTTTCTGTGCGTTGTGACCAACATGGCACCTGTCACACTGACTTGTCACTCTAGTCAGTGGGACTAAGGTGTAAGACTTTCTTCTAGAGAAGTGGCTCCTGCTAGCTCTAGGGACTCTCATGACAAAGAGAGCAGAGGGGAAAAGCAGTTCATAGACTATGATGTGGGTCCAGCCCTAAGATTAAGAAGGTTTACAAGGCCGGGCACGGTGACTTATGCCTGTAATCCCAACACTTTGGGAGGCCGAGGCAGGCGGATCACGAGATCAGGAGTTCGAGGGCAGCCTGGCCAATGTGGTGAAACCCTGTCTCTACTAAAAATACAAAAATTAGCCAGGCATGGTGGCATGTGCCTGTAGTCCCAGCTACTTGGGAGGCTGAGGCAGAAGAATTGCTTGAGCCCAGGAGGCAGAGGTTGCGGTGAGCCAAGATCATGCCGCTATACTCCAGCCTGGGTGACACAGCAAGACTCCATCTCAAAAAAAAAAAGAAAAAAAAAAAAAAAGAAAAGAAAAGAAAAGAAATTTAAAAAAAGAAAAAGAAAAAGAAAAAAAAAGAAAGAAGGCTTATGAAAATGGACACTTACTGAGGCCTTCAGGGAGGGTGAGGAGAGCTAGGAGGAAGCATCCTTGAGCCAGGCTGTGGGAAGGAGCGAAGGGCACAGGTAGGAATTAGGCAGTCTCTATGTAGTGCAGGACCTAAAAGGAAGGTAGACACATCACCTAGGAAAGCTCTAGTTTGGAGATGCCCCAAACTCTCACAAATGGGGTGTGAGGCATATGATTCACCCCTCCCCCGCTCCACCTCATGTCCCACCTTCAGCTGGGTCCTGAAGACTAGTCCCCAGAAAAGCAGGAGATGCTATGGTGTTGAAGAAAGCACAGGACCAGTAGGCCGTGGCTTTAATGATGGATTGTATGTGAGCCTGGGTAAATCGCTTACCTTCTCTAAGTCTCAGTTGCTTCATCAGGGCACACTCTGACATGCCTCAACCACTTCCTAGGACTGTAGTGAAGGTCAACTCATAATGATGATGATAGCTATTCTTTTTAGATCACTTCCTATGTGTCAGAGATTATGCTAAACACTTTACCATATTTTATCAATACTAACAACATCTCTATGACATAGAACTATTATTAGCTGCATTTTACAAGATGAGTAAATTGAGGTTTAGCGAGGTAAAGTATCTGCCCAAAGTCCAATGCTATCAAGTGAGCTGATGGAGCTGACAGAGGCGGCATTTCGTCTGTGGAGCCAGCATTCTGGTTCCCTGATCTGTATATTTAGCTGTGTGGCTGACTTTACTGTCTAGGAGTGAAGCAACCACAGGTCCCCTCTGGGACCCCTGGCCTCGCAGCCACAGTGGCAGCACTTAGCGAAGAATAAGGAAAGACACCTCTTTCCCCCTTGGCTTCAGAGATGTGCTCCTGAGGAGTTGGCTTTCCCTTCCTAACTGCAGGGGTTGGTGACTGTACTGGGTTGAATAGTGTCCACCCAAAATTCGTATCTACCAGGAACCTGTGAATGTAATCTTACTTGGAAGGAGGATCTTAGCAGATGTAACCAATTAAGATCATTTGCACTCATACTGGATTAGGGTGGGCCCTAATCCAACGACTGGTATCCTTATAAGAAGAGAGAAATGTGGACTGAGATGTAGACGTAGAGGGAAGATAACCATGTGAAGACATGGGGTTATGCTTCCGCAAACCAAACAACACCAAGGATCCTGGGAACCACCAGAAGCTAGAAGAGGCAAGGAAGGATTCTTCCCTAGAGCATTCAGAGAGCACATGGCCCTGCCAACACCATGGTTTCAGATTTCTAGCCTCCAGAACAGTGAGAGAATACATTTGTTATTTTAAGCTACCCAGTTTGGTAGTAGGAAACTAACACAGTAACCTAGCACTGTGTGCACCACAGCTAGGTGGACAGAGCATGGATTGGAAACCACCTAGATGGACTAGGTGGGGTGAACCTATTTGTGGCAGATGAGGGAGAGGAGAATAAGTTATTTACTCATTCAGCTACACTGACCAACTTGTAGACAATGCCTCCCCATGACTTTATGTGATTGTGTGTACACTGTGTCTGGCGAGTGTGTTTTCAGCTTTATTTTTTCCGGATATGATAATGGGAGTTCTTCACGTTGGTGAAACTTAGAAGGTGAGAATTCCATATAATAAATTGTTCCCCCTACCTCTTGGCTGTCCTTACCACCCCTAGATCTCAGATGGTGAAACTGTGCTTAAAGAGGTTCAAACCTTGCCCAAGTTTTCAGTTAGTAAGAAGCAGAATTCAGATCCAGAATTATCTGACTGCAAAAATTCTGCCCTTTCCATTATATCAAGTTCTTTCTCAAGCTAAAGAAACTGACCTCTTTTCAGAAAGATATGGAGTGATTTGTTTACTTTCTTAAGCATTTTTTCTAGATTTGAAAGTAACATTTATTTGAAAAATATTTAAAAATTATTGAAATGGTAAAATAAAAAGTAAAAAAAAAAAATGGCAATAACTACTGTTACTATTGGGTAAATATCCTTCCAGTCTTTTTTTCCTATAAATACATATTATCAATACAATTTGAATAATGCTGTGAACAGTTTTGCATTTTGTTTTAATTTAACATTATCTTGTAAGCATTTTCTCAAGTCATAAGTTTTTGTAGACAGGATTTTAAATTACTAAATAATGTTTCATCATATGGATGGGCCATAATTTAACATTTTCTATTATTGTCTACTTAGTTTCCACCTTTTTACAATAATAAATATACAAGTTAACATTTTTAATAAACATCTGTCCTCTTATTATTTCTTGAAGACAGGGGATCATATTGGGTAAATGGATATGAATATTCTAAGGCATTTGATGCATAATGACAATTGTTTACCAAAAGGGTTCTACCTACCCGCCCAGTCAGAGTGCCTGACACGGCACCCTTACCCATACTGTCATCAGTAAAGATCTTTGCTGTGTTCTGAAGAGGAGCATGCTGCAATTCCATCACACGGGCTACCGCGTCCAGAGGATAGCAGGGGGCAAGACCAAGCAGGGAAACCAGTTAGGAGACCGTGGCGATTATCCCAGGGGACGCGCTGGGGGCTTGCGGCTAGGCGCAGGGATGGATGAACTGGAACACGCACGGGATTCGTAGAATATTCGACAGGGGCGGGGGATCGACTCTGATAAGATAATTCTGCGTTGCGTGGGGTGCAGCAGAGGGAGGAGACTGCACGTTCGGCTCCGGCCTCCTCCGCGCCGGGCTCGGCACCGATACGCGAGGTTGGCCGAGGCGTGAGCCCCGCCCACCCCTTTAACAGGGACACTCCCCTTTAAGGCGGGCGCCCGCGCGCGCCCCGGCCCCGCCTTCGGCGCGCGGCGGCGGCCGCGGCGCCGGGCTCCGCCGGAGTGCACGTGCCGCGCCGCGGAGGAGAGGAGGCGGGAGCCCCCCCCCCCCCCGCCCCCCCCCCCCCCGCGGCGCGAGGAGGAGGCGCGGCGCGCGCGCGCGCTGGCGCTGCTGGCTGGCGGCGGCGGCGGCGGTTACTATGGCGGAGTCGGCCAGAGCCTCCTCCTTCTTCCCCCTTGTTGTCCTCCTGCTCGCCGGCAGCGGCGGGTCCGGGCCCCGGGGGATCCAGGGTGAGTCCTGGGGCGGGGGGCGGGGGCCGGGATGGAGAGGGCTGGGCGAGGGCGAGGCCTCGAGCCGCGGCCGCTGGGCTACAGCGCGCCCCCTCCCCACGCGCACAATATGGCCGGGTGGGGGGCGCGGAGGAGTCGGGGTGACCCCCAGTCAGCTTCCCAGACCTCGGAGGCGCGGCTGCCCTTCGGCGGCGGAGCTCACGCCGGGCCCCTTGGGACCCGAGCCCTGTTCCAGGCGGAACTGGATTCGGGCAGCTCTCGGGGGTCGCGCTCCCAGCGCCCTCATGTTCCATAGAGGGGAGCCCGAGCTTCCAGCCTCAAGATTTGGAGGTCCATGGTTTCTGTCCTTCACCGTGTCCAGGGGCGGGGGGCTTTCTTCCCTCCCTCCAGATGCTCCTGGGGGGCATCTTTCTCCCGCCAAGATTGTGGGGTTCGGGCGGTGGGGTCTTAGCCTCTCCGAGGGATCCTGATGTTGAGAGCCCGCGCACCTCGAGACTGTAGGGGAAGGGGTCTCTAACCTTTCCTTCAGGTCCTGCACTTGGCGTGTTTCTTCCCCTCCCTCCCCTGCCTCCCTAATGTTCTGGGAAAGGGAGTCACATTTCCCCTTCACTCAATCCCTTGAGTTCAGTGGGGCAATCCCCCCCTCCGCCCTCCGGCACACATGCCCCGTGGAGGCTATTTGGAGGAAGTGGGACGAACAGGCCCCTAAACCTTTTTGGAGCCTAGCTTTGGAATCCCTAACCCTATGGAACCGAGTTCCCCAAGGGTTGATCTGAATCTAGGTGTATTTGCTTTCCTCCCCGCTTCCCCTACCCTACCCCGGGGGGCCCATTCAGTTAATCACTTTGTGGATGCCTTTCAGGTGAAATCTTAGAACGTGTCTCCAACCCCCCAAGATTATTTAAAGATCCCACCACCGGACTGTATCCCTTGGTCAGTACTGTAGCCCTTGGTCAGTACTTATTTACCTTCCTACACGATGCCTCTTCCCAGCCCGCCCACCCTCACACACCCCTTACCTTCCAGTCCCCACAGCCTGCGGCTCGCGTTATACCACCCCCACTCTCCCCTCTGTAGAAGCGGGTACCTTTTTGCGGGACACTCCGCTGGCTGTGTTGTTTTTGAGGCTTTGGGGGCTGAGAAGAGCAGATGAAACCCTAAAATATTTCATTTAAGAGAGTCCTGGCGAATGTGTTTTGGCCTTGAGGTAGTAGATGAAGGTTATATTTGGCAGTTATGTTGAAGCGATTATTGACCCACAGATGGATCTGGGAGAGATGATCAGGATTGTATTCGCTCCCAATGTACAAAGCCTGCTGCTTTGACTTCTCAGCAGCCCCTAACCTTCCAGCAATGGGAGATCAAGTGTGTTCTGTGGCTCTCTTCTCCCCTAAAAATAATGATTCTCAGGTGGGTTCAGTCGTCTTTAATAGACCAGACAGTCAAGAAAAGACACCATGCCACTTTGGAGTCTCAAAAACAAGTTCATTATCTCCGGCTTTGATATTTGTTCCCAGTGGTGGAGCCTGTGCAGCGGGGTCTTTGTTCACGGGCTAATGCTTCTGCTAAGCACCTCGTGTGTGTTCTTCGGCCTCACTGCTCTGTGGCTGAGGGGTTTGAGAAACATGGTGAAGGTGTATGAACCGAGCTTGACATTTGTGGTGAGATAATGATTTGCATGAATAAGGATGTTCATCGGGCCTTATTAAGGACCGTTTTTTGGAATGTGTAACATAATGTTCTCTACTGGGGTAGAAAAAAAAAGGGGGGGAGATTGAACCTCTAGGTTTGCCATGTTATTTGTGTATGTATAAATCTTTAAATTCCTCGTATAGGAATTTTTATCCTGCCCCTTATCCAGGATTTTTAACAGTCATTTCCCTGCTGATTTGATGTAGTGTTTGTGGGGTTTTTCTGGTTGTGAGCCTAGTTAAGAATGTTTGATAATCCAATTGGTTCTGATTGGGGCAGAGTTCATTTTTTTGTAATCTTCCTAAAATGGATGTTTGTGGGGGTTAAGGTGGGTGGGTAAAATAGGGAGTTCGTTTCTTTTTTTGGTAAATTGGAAATTAGGTTGTGTGTCCAGCAAACATTCTCCAGGGCCTTTAAACTTCTTGGCCAGACACTACAGTTTTTTCCGGGACACGTCTAGTTGCCAGTAGTGCATGCTATAGAGACCACTGCTGCAAAAGGCTTAAAGTAAAACGTCAGTTCTGGGAAAATAGAGGCTGTGGGATAACAAGAAGTTGATTTTTTTCCCCTCCCCTGCATTTCCTATATAGTGCTCCCCTACGTGGGCTGGAGGAGTGACAGAGCCAGGCAGCTCTGATGCCTGAAGATGCCTGGTACTTGGACATGATGTGAGGGCAGTAAGGGATAGGCATTTCTATTAATGAATTAACTAGGACTTAGTAAAAGGCCAGTGATAAGGAGAATGAGTTTCAGTTAGAAATAGCATCCGTTTGATAGGTGTACATGTTTTAAGGCCTGGCTTTGGAATTTTCACATTTAAAAATGTAAAATTGAGTTAGTAGCAGGAGAACATGACATTCATTTCTTAAGACAAAAGCAGCAAGAGAGATATTTGACATTCTCATAGGAACATTTTGAAATTTTGTGAGCGGACTGAAAATCTAATTTCAAGCCAACCCTTGTAATTTTGTTGAGTGGACATGGATTTTAAGTACAGTGGAAGTGCAGTCTTGTAGAGGACCTCTGATTAGTTTTGTTTAAACAGCTCCTGGAACAGATGTGATAAAACATATTAAAATGGCTACTCTGGTTAAAGGTTAAAGCCAGATGGAGGGAGGAGGCTGGTTTTCAGCCCTAGAACTTAGCTCTCTTACAAGTTGTCCTTGAACAAGTAACTTAACCTTTCTGTGACTGGCTCAGTTTTCCCTCTGTAAAATAAGGAAATATTTTGTGTCACTCTTATTGGGACATTTGTGAGTCTGACTTACTGATAGCCAGTTGGCGGGGAGGTATTTTTAGACACGTTTCTGACTTCAGTGAATAAGCAATGCTGGGTTACTTTTTTATCTTATGGAGCAGAAAAACATACTCTGTGATTGATAGACATACAGCATGTCACAGTGTGGTTAATTTCTTTTTGTGCTTTTTTGTAGACCCCTTTCAGATTTCCTCAAGTTAATTTCTGTCTCTGGCAGGCTCTTACATCGTTGACTAGGCAGCATACCTGTGCTAATCAAAGACAGTCTGGAGGGAGTGACCTGCTTTAGGCTTTATTGGTTTGGCAATGTTTTAATTCTTACGCAACTCTGGGTATGTTTATGGCACTATGTAAATGTTACATAAGAACATGGAGGCTGAGAAGTGGCCAGAATGGTGACTGTGAACACAGGAAGGTTAGACTGAGGACTTTATCCAAAAGGACCTTGGGAATCTGCAATCAGTACAGGAAGAACCTGCACTTTATTTTCCTCTAAGAACCTTTTTAGATGATTATGTCTTTCAGGTGGACTGCTGTGTTATAAATAGGTTTATTCTCCACCGGTGAGCTAATTGTAACCTTGCTACCAAAATATGAATCAGTAAACGATGAGACGTGCTGCTTCTTCCAGCATGTCCTGTTGAAGCTGCTTGTTGCATTTTGGAACATGAGTTGAATTGGGTTGCAGTCTGTTCTCATAATAACTGAGGAGCACAGGGTGTTGAGGTGGAATGGAATTCTCAGTTCGTGGTGCTTTAGGTCATCTTAATTTTTGAAGGTTAAATACAGAATACTGAAGTGGCTGTTTATAATTTTGAAATCTTTATTGTTTACTGTTCAATTTTTGCTCAGGGTAGCAGTGAACATTAATTCTGGGATCTCGCCTCTTTGTCTTCAGTTCTTGTAAGAGGGTCTTAATCTTGTTTTCCTCTCTGTATTCATAAAAAGGAAATTCTAGAGTCCTTTCTCACCAGTGCTTCTGATACTGGACATACTGCAGGCAGCCACAGCCCATCAGTTCCACCTGGACTGGGAATGCGGGAACCTTTTAAGTCCAACTTGCATTTCTTTCACTCTGCAGGCACTGCCTCATGGCCAGGTTCAGATACCTGCTCTGAGTTTCTGTTCTTCTCGGTTTTTCACTCTCATGCATGGTTTAACTTGAGCTTTGGCTTCAGAGGCACCATTTTTGTCCATGTCTGTTCTCTCTCCTCTGTTATGGAGAAATGGTATGCTAAGCAAAAATACGATTTCAGAGAGTATCTTTCTTTCCTTTACTCTGTAGAGTTGCCAGAGTTTGGTTTAGCTGTGACGTTTCCATCCTAGGCAATCTTTATCTGCTCTCTAGGGTTCAGAGACAGTGCCACTTTACGCAACTCTGGGCTTTTTGGTTTTCTTTAGTCTCCACCCAATCTTAAGCCTGCATTTGTCTCCCTAAATATTTTGAATTTAGCATAATGAAAGTAACTGCCTTTCCCTTTAAACCATCACATCACCCCTAATATTTACACAGTTAACATATAGGAGATTTCTTTATTCATTGGGTTGGGTATGTGCCTGGAACAGTTTTTAGCATGGGGATTTAAATAACAACAAGATGAACAAAAGTCC